TTCTTTTTTATTAAAATATTAATTTTACAATTTTATTTTAATCAAACTTACATAGCTTTGATATACTATGTTATTACGGCATGTAATAGAACTGAGAGAAAAATATTCATCGAAATATATAAATCTGATTTTGTGATTTTATTTTTTGAGAATCTGTTATAAATCTCGATTGTAACTTTATATTCCTGATTTTTCTTCAGTTATCCCGTCATCAAGTATCGAGAGTATCAATTGATTTACGAGAAGGAAGAACGTATTAGGGTAGTGCGTAGAGAATGGTCGGCCAACAATTTAGATAGAGTTAGTGTGATCTCTGAGCGAATCGTGGAAAGAAAAACCGACATGAAGACGCGGCGACGCTCCTTTAGGGTTAAAATAAATCCTAATCTAGGGCGGGTCGTAAAGTCAAGAGGATGAGTCTACCCCTACAAGCCGAAGCGAGAGGCGCGCTCGAGAGCGAAGAGAGACAGGGGGAAGAAATAAAAGGAATCTGTGTGTGGAACGTCGGCGAGATAAATGTAAGATTACAATTTATACGAGCGGCCTCCGGACTGCACGGTTATTCATTCGCGACTTTTTATTTATGCGGCGATCTCCCTCGCTCCGCATGAAACTCATCCGCGTATCGCCGGTCCGAGCCATGCAGCGGATGGCCGATAATAATTTTTCATTACGCCAGGTCAGAGGAGAGAGCCGCGGCCGTCGATTCATTTTCAGATCTGAATTTTTAATGCCAAAGTTTTTTTTACTATGCGCAAAATTTATCAGAGTGTCTACTCTCTGGAGAAACATGGAAAACCTGGAATTCTCAGAAATTATTTTTGTATGTGAAAAAATCAAGGAATATTTATGGAATTTTATTGGGACTCAGGGAATTCTTTTTTAAATTCTCTCTTTGATAATTTTGTTCTCATATCGTAAACAGTCGGCAAGCCAAGTGAATTGTGCGTTTAAAATATATTATAAATATATATCTACTCCCCACCCTCTGTTTTTATATTCATTGTCTTAACAAAATATTGAATATGCAGTATATCTTCTATTGTAATTTTCATTAAAAAAAAAATGAAAATGTTAAACGAAAGTTATTCAGTTTTTTCAGTACATTTACATATCTAGCACTTGAAACTTAAAGGGCCTCGCGTGTTTTTCCTTTGTATGCGTGAAAAACATTGAAAACACATACAATAAAAAAGTTTATTTTACAAAGTTGCATAAAAAAAAAGATCTTTAAAATATTCTCTTTACGTGGAATTTTGAACAAAGATACCTGAAAGATCAAGGAATTTTCAAGAAATCTTTTTACAAGCTTTGAGTAGAGAAATCCTGTTTACGCAACACAAATCACATTTATTGCATATTGCAACGTAAGATACGTAATGTTAGATCGAGTGTCGTAAAAGTCACGTAATAATGTACTTCTACACGACAATTTAGGATTGAATCGACGGTCAATACGATCGCGTAGATACGAAACAATGTAGGATTAGAAGACAACAAGGACGCGTGAGAGCATTCGTGAACCGTCTGGCGACCCTTTAATGAAGATTTATGCCAACATTCGTCTGGCCTTAATTGCCGTCAGGCCTGATCAATTGACGCCAAATCGCGTCGTTCCTTGTCGCTGCTCGCGCCTTCACATAAATCAAATGCTTTTGCGAAGAGAAATATCTAGAGTGATCGAGATTAATTGAGATAGAGTAATCGTGTGTTCAACATGGGCTTTTATACTTCAATATATTTCATACGTGGAAAATTATACATTCGCGAAGGTAAACGTCAGCGACGCGCGGAATGTTATGTAGAATAATTGAGTATTCATACGGAGTGCAATCGTTATTTCGATACTTTCTCATAATGTCGCGCATAAATATCGCTAACAGTATTACATCTGGGGCGAGGTGAGCGTGGTATCCACCTGTCTGCTCCTGCAAGGCATTTAAAGGCTGCAGAAATTTCCACACATACGTATATATATTCTTTTATTTATAGATAAATAAAAATTCACCAACTCTTCAATATTTTTTTTTTATTACGCGTAGATTCAATATCTAAAAAAGAATGGAATGAAACATCCGATAAAACATTATACCATCCTCTGGAATATAAAAGTCTGGAATATTTGATCTGTTTGTCTGCACTAAAAGACGTCGCATGTATATCGCGATAATTTATCGCTTCGCCATTATAAGTTTATGTTCCTCTCCATAGACTTATACCAAGATATTTTCCATAAATATATTTCCTGGCGCCGGATGTGCTCGCTACCGGCAACAGGCATCCGAGATCGATTGCCAGCGTTCAGTCGTATATAAATATTTAACATCGGCGGAAAGACGCGCGTGGAAATTTAATGAACGACCGGAGACCCTGGCAAGAACCAGGAACAACGGCGAAGGCTGATTGTCATTCGAGATGCATTCGCGACCGGTGACTGCCCTTGGTACGGAAAGGCGTCTCTTCGCCGATGTTTCAACGGGCTCTTTCTCGCGGCGAAGAAATAATTATCCCGGGTCACTCTTCTTCGGTGTCATTAAACTTGTTAAATCGGGGGTCAGTATACACGCTCGCGCACTCTCTGTGTGTGTGTCGTGTTCTACTTTCTTTAAGAGATTATACCGCGTCGCACCACTTTCACATCGAGAAAAAAGCTTCGATCGTCGCCGCCACAAAAGCGATTCGGGCAATTTTAACGCGAAAATTGAACGCGGCATAATTGCGGTGTTATTTTCTCATGTCGATAAAATTGCGGTGCGGAGAAACGAACGGAAAATACTTTGAGAAATTATGGTCGGTACATATTGATATATTGTAATAAACCGGATGTCGGACTTTCTCGTTTTGGAGACGGCTCTTGTTAGGTAAAAACTTCAATGAATGTTCTATTGTTTGAAATTCCGATGTTAAATATCTCTGCACGGATGTAATTTAATCAAGTTTACGTTTCGGTTTTAGGGCGAAATCACGAGATTAACGATCCATCTACTCTTGTCATTAACGTTGACATTTCATACTAGAATTACGACGTATAACGTTGGCCCTCTATTCCCTTGAGAAAACTCGTTGATTGTAAAACATTGCCGCGACGAAACACGCGTAGATAAATCCGCGAGTTTTACGAGCACAGGTCGGCGTTACAAATTTTCATAACACGTGTGATTTTGACAGGCTTTTATCTAAATAAACGAAATTTTTCTTTGTTTCAGAAATTGCCGTCTTTCTTCAATACCAAGCCGACGCGGGTGGATAAATCGGACAACAACAATGCCAACAACTCCAACAACACGAGCAACAACATTCATAGTATGCCGCTGCATGAACCCATCAGTGCTACTTCTCCCGAAGTATACGGTACGTGAGAACACTATGATTACACGAGAATCGCGGAACCTTATATGGCGCAAGTGGGAAACGCGCTGTCAGTTAAATTCGCGTCGTTGATCGAACGAATATTTAAGACGCGGATATTTGAAAATGCAAAGTACTATAACGGTGACGCGAATTACACGCAATGTAAGAATTAAGGCTTATACGAGGAGAATTATTACTCATATCTTTCGGAGAAGACGGTTCTCAATCCGTATTCTGTGAATTAATAAAAACATCTTAATAAAATTTAATAAAAATTTAAAATTCTCCGTAGAATTGATTAGAGATTAATTAGAGAATATTCATATACTCCAAGCAAAAAGTGGTTTTCAATTTATATGCCCTAAACAAATAAATATATCTCTGCACACAGTTTAATAAAAATACACATGTATACACAATTTTTCATTAAGATTTTAAAAGTTCTCTATATTTGAGATTAATTACTAAAACGCAATAAATGTACCAGTGTCATTCTAAAAGTTCCTATTCACAGAAAAATTTAAAAATTTGCAAACTGTTGCTGTCGAAACTTATATAACGCTCTCGCGAACTCCTGAAGTACGCAATCATTTGATATATATTGATATTTCTGCTTCGGAAAAATATAGCCGGGAGACTGCCAATGACACCCCAGGAAGCGGTGAAGTATTATGGCTCCAGACTGACAGAATTCGAGCGCGCCGAGATCGAGAAGTATTCGGAGATCTGGTATCTGGGCCTGTCGGCCCACAAAATTCACGGCGAAGAGGTCTCCTCCCAGAACGGAGGCTACGACGACGAGAACGGTAGTTACAACAAGGTCCTGCACGATCATATCTCCTACAGGTGAGCCTTTATCCTCTTTCATCGAGTCTCGGCGCGCGATTTTTCTTGGCGAGATCTTGCTAGTCGGATCTGGATCGCAATCTCGCAATTGTGCGCGTTCTTGTAATTCCGTTGTTATTCTCGCGTGGAGAAATTGCGGTTGAGAACTATGCCTAGGGACGCGAACTCGCACCCAAATATATACGATGGATTACACGAAACGCGAGAAAAATAGAAGCATTCACGTAACGATGAGTTTTCTCGCTCGCAATAGTATATGCGTCAAATGCGTATGACTTGTAATGCGATTGTTTTTCTTTCTTTTAATTTTTTACTTTTGTATTTTATTGTATTATTTGTTGCTACGTTTTCTCACGTGCGTAAATTATTGGCAGCTTGTATGTGCATTCTTCTCAGATACGAGATTTTGGAGGTAATCGGCAAGGGAAGCTTCGGTCAGGTGATTCGAGCGTTGGATCATAAAACGGGACAGCACATCGCCATCAAGATTATCAGGTACGTGGAAACGCAAGTACAGTCATCTCGCGAGCTATGACTCACTTGGAGCTATGATTCGAAAACAAATCCGCGTAACGAACGAGTCAATACATCCGGCATTTTTTGTTTTCCGATTGCCGCGTCGTTTCTTTATTAAACAGCGTGTGACTTTCACTGTCCTTGCAGGAACAAAAAGAGATTCCATCATCAGGCTCTCATCGAAGTAAGGATCTTGGAACATCTTAGGAAGAAGGATCTGGAGGCGAACTCGCAACACAATGTGATACACATGCTAGAATATTTTTACTTCAGGAATCACCTGTGCATCAGTTTCGAATTAATGAGGTGAGCGATCGTAAGCGTAATAACGCGAAATAGAGTTTTCGCGAGTTTATTAAAACAGGACGCATAAAATAAAACTGTCGTCTCTCTTACAGCTTGAATCTGTACGAGTTAATCAAAAAGAATAATTATCAAGGATTCAGTCTGAGCCTAATCCGCCGTTTTGCCAACTCGCTAATTAGTTGCTTGAGACTGCTCTACCGAGAGAACATTATTCACTGTGATTTGAAACCGGTAGGTACACGCCTAATGCATACACGTCACATTCGTATTCGTTCCGAGTTTCGTCTCTCATATGTGATGTCTGTTATTGTTACAGGAGAACGTGCTGCTGAAACAACGGGGTAGCAGCTCAATCAAAGTCATCGATTTCGGTTCCTCGTGTTATAGTCATCAACGCGTTTACACGTACATACAGTCGAGGTTTTACAGAAGTCCAGAAGTGATTCTTGGTCTTCCCTACGGCACACCGATCGATATGTGGAGCCTGGGCTGTATCTTGGCTGAGCTGTACACAGGATACCCGCTATTTCCGGGCGAGGACGAGATAGAGCAGCTCGCCTGTATCATGGAGGTCCTTGGTCTGCCGCCAGAGCACATTATCAGTCATGCGACTCGTCGCAGGCTCTTCTTCGGTAAGTTATACTCACGATGCTAATGAGTACAATGTCGAGACTTTAAGCGCTCCTAAAGATAGAAGCGGGCGCGGGTGGCGTAACGAATTCAAAGAATCGACTCTAAAATCATTACAGATCAGAAAGGGAGTCCGCGATGTGTGACAAATAGCAAAGGCAAAAAGAGATGGGCAGGTAGCAAGAACCTCTCAATGGCCCTTCGGTGCTCCGACATGTTGTTCGTAAACTTCGTTAGCAGATGCCTCGAGTAAGTTTCCTATACAATACACAGTGTTTCCGCGCGTGCATTTATACCATAATTTCTATACACTGATGAAATCGAATTTGGAATTCGATTTTTGTAACTTTTGAAATTTTCGTTTGTAATCAAACGTTTCGTGGAAATAAAATTTTTTTTATCCTAAATTTTATGAATTTTCTATTCTCGGATGTTACTCTAAACGATATTTTTGATACCATTAGGTGGGATCCAAAGAAACGCATGACCCCCGACGAGGCGATGCGTCACGAGTGGCTAACTTCGTCGTCTTCTTCGCATGTGAGCTCCTCCTCCTCGGCGATAGCCTCGTCGACGGTGAATGCGAGCGGGAACACGACGACGACGAGCGTCGAGACGTCGCGGGAGTCCGCGCATGCACCGCAGACAGTGAGCGTGACCGTAAGCGCGCCGCGGCAACGAGCAACGACAATGGAAGATCCACCGTACACGATGTACCGGCTTTACAAGGGTCGTAAGTATGTTCAGAAGGTCTCGACCGGCACCGATGGCACAGATAACGGTGGTGGCCTGATGGTAAAGAGCAAGTTGAACGGCAGCGCGAGCAGTCACGCCCTGGCAAGCAGCACACAGACAGCGACATCGAGGCACGCGTCGACTGGTGATATCGTCGCGAGTCTGGATCCGAATCTCGATGACTCAGGCACGTTCCTGCCGCCGATATTGTGAAGTCGGGTTTGCGCCAGCCACTTCTAAACGCGCTATTCGCGCACTGATGCGATTAGCAGCCTCGTTCTTGCGACATATAGATATTGTTTGATGTATGTCAAGAGCAAACGTGATTGAACAGACGGCGCGTGTAGAACTGGCTGGCCGATTTCTGACATTAGCGTTCCCCGATGCCAAACGGGCTAGACACGTAGAGTCGCTAGTCTCGGCATGTATCGAGCTATGAGGCCAAAATGACGATCTGACGATGGGAGAAGAGCGCGCGGGCATGCCGAATGACGAGCAATATAGCGATCGATTTGCGCGTTTTCGGGGACACTCGATGTCACTCAGGTAAACGTAACAAATTTGCGCGCGCATTATCGTAGTTACTCGCGAACAACGTAAATTTTGCTGCTCACAGCGAGGATACTGGCAATTGTTAATGTATACCGGTTACGTTTTAATACGGACCATCATATTTAGCTGATTCGGATGTTTATCTCGCGCGAACGTATGAAATGCACGACGTAATCGGGTGATAAAAAATCTCGGCCATAGATATAAAAAAATTACAAAGAGTATTCGCAGGATGCGTAGTTTGCCTTACTGACGAGCTCGCAAACAATTTGCTAGACGTCGCTAGTAAAAAAAACTCGCGCGAGTAAAGACAAGGTATATTATTAGCATATAATATACTTTAAATAACTATGCGAATGTAAGCGATACGATGCATATATATCATCGATATACATATGTATCGTCGCGACAATACGCGTAGAGAAGCGAAACAAATGTCGACACAACGATTCGTCCGACGTTGCAATAAAAACGTCGGGATCACCATCGAATTACGGTCGCGCCGAAGATCTGTGAGTCGACCTGTGTCGCCAACACAGGGTCGCGATTAATAACGAAGCGTCAAGGCGAGGAGTAACATTAATACATGAAGCATGCCCCAGTTTAACGAGGCCTGAGTAGTCTTATTGTGATATTAAACTACCACTGTCTTACTTAGATCTCTCTGATATTAAGAAGTAACGATCGCTAATATAATAATTTCAATTTACTATTAATCATTATTTTCTTATTATATCTGTAATAATCGCTATATCGCCACTATTACCGTAAAGATATAGCTGCATACGAATAATGAGGTTATCGTCGATAATGGCAAAGTTAACATTACTTACATACGCGTAGGCATGTACAGATTTTAATTGCGCGTCTTTTAAATCCCAGGAACAGCATGTAGCTAGTTCGCTTTATAAAATACATATACTTGATAAAAAGAGGCCGAGGATTTTTCAATGATTTCCTACAACGCTATTTAACC